GAGGCGCAGGCGGAAGAAGCTGACGGAGGCCATGAGGGTCGAACTCACGAAGAAAGGTTGGTGTGTGTGTGTGTGTTTATTTGCTGAAGGATGATCGCCTTATTTGAACTTTATTTGTGTATTTGTTTACGTGCCAGTAAAGTGCCGCCGTTTAGGATATTTTTATAGTTAGTTTTTCTTTAAAGCCTAAGCAAACCATGTTGTTTTAAAGAAAATAAACATCAATTATGCATGCTTGTCATCTGGGAAAAAAACTTTGCTTTCAGTCTTTGTAATATCATGGATAGAAACACATTTACTTCGCTGACTGTTTTCAGATCAGATCTTTGGATAGATTTTTTGAGAACCATAGATAACCCATAGGCAACATTTTTACAATCTGCAATTAATCGTTTGTGTGATTTTACCAGTGTAACACGTATAGGAAAGGTTAAATAGATTGTATAGTTGTTAGAGGTAAATAGCTGCCAACATTTTTGTCCATTCATATATAAAGAGTTTCTGTGAATATAACTATATGTTAGGAGATGTAGATGGTTGGATGATTAGATGAAAATATAGGTAATGAATGCATATATGTGTATATAAATATATGTATATTGTGTATATATGTGTATGTATGTATATATGTAAATATATACACACACAGTCATACACATATATGTATAGGTGTGGCTGTGTATGTATATATATATATGTATATATATATGTATTATATATATATATATATATATATATATATATATATATATATATATATATATAAACATATATATATATAATATATATATATATATATATATGTATGTATGTATTTTATATATATATATATATATATATATATATATATATATATATATATATATATATATATATATGTATTTATATTTATATATATATATATTTATATTTATATATATATATATTTATATTTATATATATATATATATATATTTATATATATATATATATATATATATATATATATATATATATATATATATATATATATATTTATATATATATATATATATATATATATATGTATGTATATATATATATATATATATATATATATATATATATATATATATATATATATATATATACATACATACATACATACATACATACATATATATTATGATACATATTTGACGGTGATATAGAATTATAGAGTTTATGATTGTTTTTATTCATGTGTATTTATATAATTGTGTGTGTGGTTGGGTGTGTGGGTGTGACCATAGGTACAAAGGCCCAAGTACAAGACAGTGAGGTCATTAAACTGATAAAGGGCATATTTATAGGACAGTAGTGCAAGTTATGCAAAAATCTTACCCTTCCTTAAGTTACCTTAGCTCAGCAACTAATGACCCTGGCAGACTAATTGGCAAACAGGGATTATAAGTAATATTTCCCTAAAAGCTCGCAACTTCATTTGCATGCCGGGAATCAGTTTAGTGTCAAGTATATTTAGGGAAAATTGGATAACATGATGATTTATGTCTTATTGTTTTGTATTGCAGTGGAATGGGCTCTGATGTGTGTGTTTTTTTTTTTTTATGCTTTTAAGAGTTTGAGATGATATGTGTAGAGTAAAGTAAATTTCGGTTTTCGGAAATAGGCAGAGATGAGTTAATACAAAATATATAGATGTCCAGATAATAAAGTTAGGGCTGAAAATAGATATATGGGTAAAATAGAATTCATAACGAGTCAAGCTAGGTTTTCTTGAGCCATCGAGTCCCAGAAATGCTCACCCGCCAACTTCCCAACCCCCCCACAGCCATGAGCACCAAGGCAGAAATACGTCTGAAGCGCATCTGCCACACGGACATCACCGGGCTCTTCCTCAAGACCAACAAGATCAACAGGAGGTGCGGGAAGATCCTGAGGCAGGTCATACGCAACGGCGACATCAAGAGTAAGTAGGAGACGGAGATTTATTTTTCTTCTACCGAGACATCGTTCGTCTTTGTCAGTCCTTTGTGGCTAAGCACTTTTGTCGTCATCACTTGTGTTTTGTGTTATAAGTTCTGTTTCAGGTTTGTTCTTGGTGTAAATGATGTCTTTTTTATGACTATTATTAAGGGTATTTGAATGAAAAGATGAGATAAATGTAAAGGATGGAATTTTAACAGTGATTCTCTAAGAAGAAAATGGAGAGAGAGAGAGAGAGAGAGAGAGAGAGAGAGAGAGAGAGAGAGAGAGAGAGAGAGAGAGAGAGAGAGAGAGAGAGAGAGAGAGATTGACAGAGAGAGAGAGAGATTGACAGAGAGAGACAGAGACAGGCAGAGATTAACAGAGAGAGAGAGAGAGAGAGAGAGAGAGAGAGAGAGAGAGAGAGAGAGAGAGAGAGAGAGAGAGAGAGAGAGAGAGAGAGAGAGATCCCCTTTTATAAGATAAGACCAAATAATCATGGCATTAGTAACTAAATAGTATCAGATGCACAGAATTGAATAAACAGGTGTATATATAACATCTTATTCTTTTTATA